TATTATTTTTAATAGAGGCAGAGGTCTCGCTACGTTGTCCAAGCTGTAGTTGAACTCCTGGCCTCAAGTGATCCTCCCACCTCAGCCACCTGAGTAGCTGGGATCACAGTCATGTACCACTCATAATAGTTATTTTATGTGTTTTCAGAAACTTTCAAATCCACAAGCACGGGTTGTAGCTCCATTTATTTGTTTCAGTATGTTGATATTAATAGCAACCCATCTTCAGAAGAGATAAGCAAGTCACTGAAATGTCACTGAAAGAAGAGTAAAGACAAAAACAAGATGGTTTTGTTCCACTCCTAGCAATATTTCCCTAGGGTATTATTGGGGAAAGTTTTTTGCCTTGCATTGTCAAAAAGATGTAACTTAAAAAAAAAAAAAAAAGAAGTCTTTTACTGACTCATCACACTACAAAGAAGAGAGGTTGTATTTCTTGATCAGAAAGCTAAAGTTCTTTGTCATTCTAAGTACTGGCCCCAAAGCACCATACATGTCAGGTTAGCCATCTAATTGGGTACAAAACAGGCAATACACTCTATTTTATGTTGTGGCACCAATTCTCCATGTTAGAAGCAGGCTAGGGTGTGTGTGTAAAAACAGACATGATGTATATTGGGCAGTAGAAAGATCTAGCACTGTATATTGTCCTACCCTCCACTTGCTGGGCCATTTGCAGGACAATTTGAACATAAACACACACATGTGCACACTCCTTTTGGGGAGTACAGACCCCTCCAAGAAAAGCATGGATGCTCTCCCTACACTGAATATAATTTAGAAGTTTTATATACCTCTGGAAGCCTTAAGATTCTCAGGGGCTCAAGGTTAAGAACTTCTACCATAGGAAAACACTGATTTGGTGAGAGTTTATGGGTGTCGAGTACACCAGTCTGTTATCAGCTTTCATAATGGTGCACTGTGTTTCTGTCTGAAGTGGAATTTGTGAATAGTTGCACAGATCGACAGTATTTTTTAATTCTGTCTGCTTAATAGCCCATCA